ATCTTCCTTGTTCAGATGCAACTTGTTGAATTAATCTGTGATTTTTTGTCTTTTGTCATGCGCAGCTTGGGGGTTTCTACATTTGGACGTACAGTTACCAACTGGTGAGAAGCTCTGCTACACAGTTCAAAGCTCTTGAAGCCGCCGGGTTGGTCAAGTCTCCCAACAAGGACAACGACTCTGATCCCCGCACTCTACTCCTCAAGCCGCACCAAAACCAAGACCTTGAAATCCAGGGCAAACAAAAGGTGTCTACTCGGACATACATCAAGGACTTGCTCCATCAAATTCTTGAGGAACTCTTCGCACCGCCCACCATTGGTGCCGTAAGTCCAAAAAAACAAAAAAAGCATGATTTCATTTTTTCAAATCGATTACAGCTACTCTGATGCGTTCTATTCTGCTCCATTCAGATTCTTGGCTTTGTCTTCGGAGCAACCAACTGGTTGAGGAACCTTATAATCGGGGAGAACGCTCCGTTGCGAGTCATTCAAGACTCAGTAAAGCTTCTTGGGTAAGGAATTAACGTGCACGTTTTAAGATATGGAGACATGATGACTCAGGACTAACATTTGACTTGGCAGGGAAGGCACCATTCCTTGCGTCACACTCATACTAGGGGGAAACCTGATTAACGGTCTGCGTTCGTCATCCGTGAAAATATCAGTGATTGTGGGAGTGATCTGTGTGCGCTATATCATCCTTCCTGTGGTGGGAGTCGGGGTGGTGCAATTAGCAGGGAATCTAGGCTATCTTCCACCGGACCCTCTCTTCCGATACGTTCTCATGCTTCAGTTTGCACTGCCTCCTGCCATGAATATCAGTAATTACTCAGACATCTCGCTTGCTATACTGTTGGTAGAGAGATACTCAATTTATGTTATGGATTGCAGGCACAATGACACAGCTGTTCGACGTGGCTCAAGATGAGTGTTCGGTCATCTTCTTGTGGACTTACCTGATTGCATCCCTAGCCCTCACCATCTGGTCAACCATATTCCTCTCTATCCTCTCCTGAATCTGAGGAGAAAAGGCAAATGGAATTTGTTGCTTGTATAAACTCTTTTTGTTTTAGAAATACAAATTGATACTCCTAGTAGTAATGGTATTATTAATTCAATCATGTTGCCAAATAAAACAGAGAAAGAAACATGAACTCTGTTTTTCTTTGGGCTTTTTAAACAAGTGTGGGCCCATCGGAGGAGGAGAGAGAGGGAGAGCCCAAATTGGGAGAGGCGTGTTGAAGCAAGAAACGTGCGCTGCAGCTTCCACGTTGATTTGCTCCTACTGGTTGATTCTTTCTTCAATCATTTTAGAAGTTTCTACATTTCTTCACACCTGTCCTCCCCTCCTTTCATATTCCTTTTTTTTTTCCAAAATATTTTTTGAGTCATATTGTTTACTATATACTATCAAGATTTTGCTTTTAATATTTTAATTCAACAGCTCATAATAATTCGTTAATAAGAATGATTAAAAGAATTGGGTTAAGCCAAGTAACATGTGACGGAGTAATAATATTAATAAACCCCAAATACGTGACGTCAAAAATAAAACCCCTACCAAGGTAAAATAGGAGAATGTGCGCGATAAAAATTAGATTGTGACATGTGTAATTGTTGATTTAGATTGTGACATGTGTCAATATTAACAAAAATGTTTAAAAAGAAAATAAGGAATATCTTATTATATAAAGGAGAATGCGCGCGATAAGAGCTTGACATGTAGACAAAATTCTTAAGCATCAGATTGTGACATGTGTAATTGTTAATTTAGATTGTGACATRTGYYAATAYTAAYAAAAATGTTTAAAAAGAAAATATAGAATATATTCTAAACAAGGATTATGGACTAATGAAAAAAAAAATCGTTATACTAAACTATATAATATGTCTAATATTAACAAAAAAATAAGGAATATATTATAAACAAAAGTTAGAGATTAATAAAAAAAAAACCGTTCTACTAAAATATGTAATATTTCTAAATATTTATATTACAAAATACATTTTTCCATTATAAATTATCTAAATAGTTAAAGACAAAAGAAAATGTCATATTTATAAATGTAAATTTGCTATTAAAAG